GGAGATATCCGGAATTGAACAAAGTAGCGAACGTTGCGATCTTTCAACTTTAGTTTTTGTTGTTTTTCACCATTTTATGTGTAGTGTTTTCATTTAAGAGGCGGTCATATTTGAATGCATCATTTCAGGTCTATAGGAATCAATAGATCAATAAGCAGACTAAAAATTCAAATTAAGCAGTTTCGTTCTTGCCTTACAAGGCCTGTTTGGCACGAAAAACAATTTAGCAGTTTCGTTCATTGCGTAATTGGGCCTTCTATAATCAGTAGCAAATGCTCGCAAAACATTTTCAAAAATATTTACTACCGTTTTCCAATGAAGACATGGTTGGGTGACACATCATTTAGTTACATGATCGATACATTCTTAGTCACGTGATCAGACAAATGTCGCGTGATCAGACACATGACACATGATCAGTCACATGAGCTTTTCAAAATTTCCCAAAATTCTGCTATTAAGATCAAGATCGATATGCTGTTGCCTTCAGTGTCGTGTTTGGCTGCGTTCCACAATGTAACCTAGTCCGATGGATGACTAATAGAACAAGCTGGTAAGTAGACACTTGGTTACATCACATTCTTTCGTTATTTTAACCATACTGATTCACAGAATAAAAAAATGAGTGTATGTCACTCGAGTTGATGTTGATTTTGAAGCACGGTTGAAGGAAGTCCTCCCATCACACCCCATTCTCTTATACGTCGTAACACCGGAAGTGTACGACGTTATGCCCGATATTTTCGGCGGGAGATTTGTAAGTACTCATTTATTTTGACATTATCTATGACGTTTTGACAGAATAGGGTCCCGGCACGGATAGTGGGAAGACCTCCATATATTACTTATATTATTTCTCAGGTAATGCAGCTTCCATCCAAAATAAAAAATATGTATTTTTAAAATAAATTATTTGTCTAGTTTTCGTTAAACAAATATCCTGAGACACATAGGGCCAGTAGAAAACACTAAACAGAAAAATAAAAAAAATATTCATACCTCCAAATCTGCTTTATTGGTCAGTTAATGCACCAAATCATAATGGTTGTTCAAAATAAAAATTTAAGGGGACAGAGCGCCTTATCTCGCGAGAATAAAGCAAATCACTCAAAGGCGCATGATTTTTCGACCAATCAAATAGCTTGAAATTTACCAAACCATTTCGTCCAGTGTTTCACAACCCATGACACATGCACAGTAGAAATTGTCAATTTACTGAGTGGACCTTTCAATGGCCTGGAGAAATTTTACTCATGAGAATTGATGATTACTGAACACATATAGGCATAAGAGGTGAACGACCCATTTATTTTTGCGTATAAATGTTTCAAGAATAGCATGATATCAAATAATCTGTACATTATGCTACGATTCATTCAAAAATTGAATCTAGAGGACAGGTGACCATATTTTTTAAATTTTTATTAACATTACCTGGTGTTAATACCTCCTAGATGGAGGACTTCCCACTATCCGTGGGTCCCGGGAATATTGTCCTTTCCCTTTCGTAGAAACATTGACCCACATGCTATCTATTGCAAGACTTATGCCTGGCACAACCGTCAATATGTTATTAAGTGTTTTAAGTTTCGCAAGGATCTTGCCATGACCGTGGTATTGTTATCGTGAAAGCCTGGTATAACCGTGACAATGCTATATTATATTGCATGGCCTGTCATGACCGTGGTAATGTTAAAACCCCATATGACCGTGACAATGGTTGCAAGGCTGTCACGACCGTGATAATGTTAAAGCCTGTCATGACTGTGGTAAGGTTAAAGCCTGATATGACCGTGACAATGCTATAATACATTCCACAGCCTGTCATGACCTTGGTAATGTTAAAGCCTAATATGACCGTGACAATGCTATATTATATTGCAAGGCCTGTCATGACCATGGTAATGTTAAAGTCTAATATGACCGTGACAATGCTATATTATATTGCAAGGCCTGTCATGACCATGGTAATGTTAAAGTCTAATATGACCGTGACAATGCTATATTATATTCCACAGCCTGTCATGACCTTGACCGTGACAATGCTATATTATATTGCAAGGCCTGTCATGACCGTGGTAATGTTAAAGTCTTATATGACTGTGGCAATGGTTGCAAGACCTCTCATGACCGTGGTAATGTTAAAACCCTGATATGACCGTGACAATGTTCACGTTCTTGACTGAGATTAGAATCATAGTTTGTGGAAATGAATTATGAATTTAAGTAGTAGTACATGTAGTTATAGTCTAGATTTACATATTTAAGGTAGATAAACGATGAAATTTTTCATCACAGTATTCTCATACGAACATTACTTGAGTAAAATATGTTGAGATCCGATGACAAAATTGAGAGCGAATGAGCATAACGGGTCTTTCAACTTTGCACATTTTCGATCATTCAAAATATATAACTTCATATGTTTACCGTCTTGGTAGATACAAAATAACACATACCAAAGTCATTGGGATTATGAGCATAGTCAAATAGAAGTGATGATATTATCAACAATGAAATGATTTCAATGTTTTAAAGAACTTTGCAGGACACAGACGTTGACTAGTTATATCATATTATTACCACCTTGCCGGGCCAGTTTCAGGCCTGTCAACTGTCCCGCAATTTGCGTATTTGTCACGCATTTGCTGAAGAATTTGAAGTCACGCCAGTTATTTTTGCGTGACAGAAAATGTCACGCAAATACGCATTGTACCTGGTAATTGTCAAGCAGAAATATTTCTGTAGAAAAATGTCTAAAAAAGATCGTCTACACAGCAAAAATACGAACGCCGGAAAAAAATGTACGCATTTCGTTCGGACTTTTCACGCGAATTACGTATATGTCACGCATTCCGTTCGAAATTTTTCGTACCTACCTACTAAGATGTAATAAAATTTAAACCAAGGTGTTCAAAATTTGGATCAAGGTGTCCAGATTTGGACCAAGGTGTCCACATTTTGAGGGGAGGTGTTCAACATTTCCAAGTCACTCATGTTAGGTGTTCCCAAGTTGACAGGCCTGCAGTTCTAGGGGTTTAAGTGCGAGTTTAGAAGGTGTTCATTTTACTATGTCGACCTGAGCAATATGTGACGTCATAGTGGTGGTCAAGAATGCATTTCAGACCGGTTGAGAATGCAAT